TAGATTCCATCCCATGAAAAGGGGGAAAGAGAGGGGGAAACAAAGAAATGAAGAAAAGTGCAGAGGGGTGGAACCACGCATTAGAGGGCCATGCAGAAAAGACCCCCCTTGGGGGGTCAGGTTGGGTTCAAGCGCAACAAATTACCTAAATATGGTTGTGAAAAGGCCTTGGAAAAAAAGGTTTTGATGGAAACTGCAGAAAGTGATAATAACGCTCAAAGAAAAAGGGGGGAAATTTAGGGGCTCTGCTGTGCAGACACAATGTCACAAACCTGTCCATAATTTCACTGACTACAGAGGATAAAAATGGAAAAAAGTGTTAAGTCCCTGCTTTTTAACTTGCTCGTCCCTTTTGTGCAGTGGGAGGGAGTGGGACCTATTGAAGGAGCAGAAAGAAAAAGTGGAAGAAGTGGAGAGGAAGAAAATCAGAATACGAAATTTTCAGCCTGAGTGGTTTTTTCCAAACGAAATCTAAAAAGCTCTGAAACACAATGGAGTCCCCTTTTTCCCCCTCTCTGCTATGTGTGTGTGAACATACATAGGAGGTTGGTTGGTGGTGGGTTACCTTTTCAAGAGTGCCCAGCAGTGGACGTGTTTGGCATTTGCGGCCCTTGTTGCTCAATTGTATGTTCGCCACAGCAGCTGAATCTGGGCGCCGCCTGTGACCCGTGCGGATGCTTGTATTTATTTTTTTCCCTCCCAGTCCTCATTCAGCCGATCAGTTGGAGGGTGGAGTGAAATCAAAAACAGAAATTATGTCTGACTTCTCCTCCACCCCGACCTGCCTTCAGAGATCAGTCTCTCTTAGTTCACATCTGTTTGTTGGCCCTTCGCCCCAAAGGCAGTCAACACGGTTGCTGAGCACTGCTGTTAACTAAACCGGCTGACTGGCAACTCAATATGTTTCTTACATAAGTGGAGAAAAAGAAGGAGAGAGGTTGTTTCACCTGTAATAAGTGTATGAGGAGTATGCGGCGCACATGGTCAACATTGTACTCACAAAAGGCAGCTCCATGGGGCGGAAACTACAAGAAAAAACAACATTTAGCAACATTCACAGGCTCAGGCACATGAAGCAGGGCTATTAACAAAGTGATGTGCCAGGAAAAAAAAGAAACACTTCTTTAAAAGGCTCAGCACATCCCTGCTAAGTCCCAAATATATCCTCTGGGCTTGCATTTATTACTTTCAGACCAAAAGTCACAGCCTGGTCGGCCTTTACTCCACACACAGAGGAGAGCCATAAAGACTGGATGTGTGAGTTTTGTTCTGCGTGTGTCAGTATGTACAAATACCCAGATTGTTTGTGGGTGTGCATCTGTATTTATCCAGGTGGTGGTAACGAGTTTCATATCTGAGCGCTTGCTCACATATCTAAAATATGTTTATGTGGTATTCTAAACTGTGTCAGTGCCTCGTGTGTGCGTGGAGGCATGCGTGTGTGTTTGTGTGTATCCTGACCTCAGGGAGGTTGTGGCTGTGGGTCCCACTATTTCTTTCCATTTAGTTTCCACTTCACAGCCTATAGCACACATTAGCCTCACAACCCCTGGGAAATGGCGCGCGCACAAACATAGTGAGAAACAGACTCTCTCTCACACACACACACACACACACACACACACACACACACACACACACACACCTCAGGGGGCACAGAGAAAAACACATTCCTGTATAATAAAGTGACATAACTTTTGTTGCATGGCTGATTAAATGAGTAACTGTACATGCCAAATGTATGTATGCGTATATAACTGTATAGGCCAACTTTTTACATTACTGGCAGTATAAATCTGTGTAAAGAATGCAGTGGATCAGGAAATTACTTGTTCCAAGGACCTTCTGTCCTTGGACACATTACAGTCTATAAAATGTTGCAAATTAGCAGCATTCAAACACATTAGTTACATATACAAAGAAATATGTCTTGTATGATTCGGGGTAGCATTGCATCTAATTTCATGCAGTTTTTCATTGCCTTATTTTTCTGTTTTAAGTTTTGTCAGAAGGTAAAACCCCTCGTTTGCACCTGTGCATGTGCATCCTTAAATGCACAAACGTGGAGGGCATTGTTGTAACCTGGAAATCACTCCTTTATGTTCTGTAGTTTTTGGTTACTTCATAACTTTAACTAAACATGATAAAAAAGAGCATTTAAAAAAAAAAATTCTCTTGACAATTGCATTGAGAGCACATTGTAGCTTCAAGAATCTGCTGCAACAAACAATTTCACATTAAGCACTTAACATCATCTTATCACAGAGTGCCAGAAAGTTTCAGTTTTGAGGGAAACACAAATTCTTATCATGTAAGAATTTCAGGATTTGAGAAACTGAACTTAGAATCACTGATAATCCCTCCCAAGTCCAAATGTCTCAGCAATTATAGATGAAAAGTAACAAGCAAACTCTTAAAGGCTTGCCAACATTAAACTCTGATCAGGAGCCAGTCCTCGCTGACCTTTTCCTCCTCCTTTGGCCTTGATGGTGATGGAGGGCCAGCTCTGGCCCAGCACGGCCAGACATATCAATACAGTGCCCAGCAGAAAATATAAGCAAAACCTCAGTCCAACTCCTCCTTCTTCCCCTCCCTACTCTCACATCCACATACATACATCTTAACAGCAGACGCTTTAAGGAGTAAAGACAAAGAGACAGCTATCCATGCGGCAAAACCTTGTGCCAGGGCACCATCTGCTCATCCGCTCAGTGGAAGTGGTAACTTCCAGGGCAGTCAAAGACAACGCAGGAAGATTGAGGAGACGGGGCTCCCTTTTCACCACTGTGAAAGAGCAAGGGAGTAAAGTTTGAAACAGAAAGAGTCCCGGCAGAAGGCTACCAGCCGAGCCAAGCAGTAGCAGGAAGCGAGCGCCTTGTGTGTCCTGAGATTTACGGTGACTGGTCCATCCACCAACCACCTGGACCTGCATAAATAAATTTAACCAGACAATTCAAAAACGGGTATTGCTGAGTGGAATCAAACAATGAAGGAGGAAAGACCATTTCCGCCCTCTGAATAGAGGCAAAGATGAATAGACTGAGTCACATGATAAATAACTGCATAAATTCAAAATCATCTTCTGGATGAGAACATTGTCTAACACGGAGAGACGGGAAAAAAAAAAGAGCTCAAGGAGAGGGAGGGAGGGAAAAAACACAAGTGACAGTTGGCGATGGGAGAGCAAGATACACACACACTTATCTGTTGTTGCCATCTCTAAGACACAATTGGCATCACTGTCCACAAATGCTGAAGACAACAATCCCAGCCATGAGAAACTGTGTGTGTGTGTGTGTGTGTGTGTGTGTGTGTGTGTGTGTGTGTGTGTGTGTGTGTGTGTGTGTGTGTGTGTGTGTTAGCTGCTGTCTGCCATCACTGCTGCAGGTGGCCTACGATCTACCTGCAGCTCTGTGCCTCCATTACGCTTTTCAATGTGTTAAATCATCATAAAGAAGCAGTTTCAGTAAAGCACTCACTGAGCAGTGCAGCAGAATGGCTTCAAACGCTTTGGGTCGACAAAATTCAGTTTAAAGATTACAAATGATAGAATTTTAACTTCTCTCAGGTGAGATGAATAGCTAAAGCCTGCACTGAAACAGTACAATATCCTGAATTGATCCATTCACTTTACTTTATTATTATTAGCCTTCAAACCGCTGCTGGCTGCGAGGAGTAACTACAGAAACACTTGATTGATACTTCAGTTGTTTCCTCTATACTTGCCTGCTGTGTGCGTGAGGTCTGTAACTTCCTAGTGGCCACAGAGTGCCACTTACATCTCAGTTAAATGCAGGCACATGTAGCCAAGAGTATTCACATCTACCTCTTGACACAATCATTTAAAAATCTCCTGTTGAGCTACAGCCAAACACACAGAACTTTTTGGTTTTCTTCCCCCCCCACAAATACCCGGCAGTGCCAAAGCAATCAAACAACTGACTGGCTATCTGTCACTGAGCTGTAAACTCTCCAACACAAACAAACAATTTTTGAAAGCCAAAAAAAATACAAAATTATATCTCCATCCTCCAAGCACCTTCAAATGTTTGTGCGGGAGAGACGCTGATAACGGCGCCCTCTTAACTTCAGACGGTGTGTTTGCATTTTAGCGGGGATATACATCTTAAAAGGATGCGGCAGTGAGAGAGACAGAGAGAGAAAAAAATGTCAGCGGGGAGGAAAGCAAGGCTTCAAACAGGCAAGAATGTCAGATGAAAGTTGGAGCTCAGTTATCGCCGTCTCAAGACGGACTAAAGGGAGAAAGCCAGAGAGAGAGAGAGAGAGAGAGACGGAAGGAGAGGTGACCGGACTGCCAATGACGCCAAACCTCTATTTAAAGCTTCCCCAACAGTGTAGGCCTGACACTGACACATTTACCTCTTGGCCTCATGTTTTATCAGCAGCCACCTCCTCTCCAAAAACAAAACAAAACAAAAAAAAGTGAATCCACTTTTACTGTTTTCAGCTCTTGCAGAGATCAGATAGCTGGTGAGAGTGTGCTGAGAGGAGAGCTTCTATGCCTGCAAATGAACTTTGGGGGCTTTTGGGACCGTGTTTAGTTGCTAATGTGTAGTTAAGCAGTGCCATTGTGAACAGCAGGGGGTGACAGCTCCGTCTCCTGCACATAAACACCGACAGGATAATCACCCTGGTGGGGAAACTGCGGCCGTTTTTTTTTTTACTCAGCGAAAAACCTGTGAATCCTAATCCCAGGTTACAAATTTCAACATAAAAACGGGAGAAAAAGTAGGAAAGTATGAGCACAACAGCCTACTTTTGAACACATAACAGGTTAGAGTCCTGTGAATGATCCCCTAGTGAAATGAAGCCAAACCACCTGGCCTCCAAAGGGGAGCCAGAGGGTGACTCAACTGGTGGTCCAGCAGCTGCATCCCACCAGCGGCCTACAGCTGAGATGTGTTTGCATCCGCATGTTACTGCTTTTAAAAAAACACGAGTGTGCGCACACGTGTTTACTGAACAAAAATGAAACTTACCAGGATCCCAGCAAACTGCTTCTCTTCCATCCTTCAGGACCTCGTCGGCAAAGATCCCCTGCCTCTCTCTCTCTCTCGCGCGCGCGCACTCTCTCTCTCTCCCTGTGTCTGGGATGGACTCGTCTGCCTCTCGCCCAGCAAAGTTTGGAGTTTTCTGAGGTGGTCGAGGTTCGCTGGAGCGTCTTCACCCCCGTCGCGTCGCTCTCTCCGTCTCTGTCCCCCCTTCTTCTGTGCTGCTTGCAAGTGTAGCTGAAGTGGCGTCGCTGCTTTGTGCTAATTCTGCCCTAATCCAGAAACTTTTCTATGCTGTGAAAAGAACACGTGACAGGCAGAGAGGGGTGGAGGGAGAACAGGAGTTGGGGGGGAGAAAGGGGTAGGGTAAGTGGGGAATAGGGGGGGAGGCAAAGCAACACTTTTTTTTAGTTTCTTGTCCCCTTTGGCCATGTTCAAAACAGCTTGTCAGTCTTAGTACATGACCTGCTCTGAGGTCAAAATTTTTAAAACCACACATCAACTGTTTATGGTGAGAGTTAAAGAAAAGGTGGGAATGTAACTGGTAAAGCGTCAGTTAGTGAGGATGCAGGCAAACAATTCAGAAAACATGTAGTGACAGATTTGCTTTTTTTTTTTTTTTTTTAGCAAAGCAGCTGCCATAACAAAGTGCCCTTTTGTGTAAAGAGATTAACTGTTAGGGAAACGTTTAGACTGCCCACTGACTACTGCTGTATGGAAGCCAGACTGGGAAAAGAACACTCAGCCTGGATCTGGAAGAAAAGTGGCCGAAAATACTTTGGATTGAAAAGTTTCTGAAATGTGCATCTGGGCACTTACCTTTCACTGCATCCCTGCACGCATGTTCAGAGCAAACAACATCAACAGTAGTTTATAATAGATATACACCTATAAATACTACAGCTACAGATTCATCTGCAGCTGTTTCTGCTCATGAATTAATTACTGATTTGGTCTACCAAACCTGAAAAAGCCAGTCTTCCCAGCAGCTTATATTTCTCCAACAGTCCAAAACACAAACAGATATAAACTAGACATCCCTCAAATCTGAAGTATGTCTCCCTTTATTTGGCTCAGGGAATAAAAAAAAAAACTTCAGTATACTAAAAGCGCTCGTGAAAAAAGGAGAGAAAAGGTGGCCAAATATAGCCACTCTTTACTGTTACAGGCATTAAAAAAAAAAAAAAAAAAATCCCCCACACATGTACACATGTCACATACACGGGAGCCTACAGGGACTGGAAAAAAAATGCCTCCCCCTGGGGTCAACCATCATACGCATCATGATGCACACTGATAAAAAGATGGGAAGAAACAAAACGAGGTTAAAAACTGATCCTTACCATCCACAATATGATGTCTGAATAGAGAAAAACCACACAACCAAAACACAACCTTGTACGTGAGGAAAAGGGCTAGCAGCTCGGCCGTGAGAAACTCACTGACACAAAGGCTGAAGTCTTTGATCAAATCACCGTGCTCTGGCTCCTTCTCACTGGCTGGGTAATGTATGTACATAAGGTAAGAGTTGAGCCAAGCCTATTGGGCAATCCAGGGAGGCGTGTCAGCAAGAGGTTACGTCCAACTTACTCTGAAACCTGACGTGTCTGTTGGCCCTTGTGAGGTAAGTAGCTTCCAAGCACAGACTGCATAATGTCCCACGGTACCGCCTTGTCCCTAACATGAAGTAATCTTATCAATAAAAAAAAAATGCCAAAAACCGTCTGATTATTGTAAATGTGAGAACTTTTTTTAAATGAAGTGTTTTCTGGTTTTGAACTTTATATTACTTTCCACAGAGGAGCAGATTAATGGATTAACTGAGAATGAGAATTATGTTATTCCCTGCCCCATTCACCACTAAGTTGCTTGTGAGGGGAAAAAAAGCAGAAATATCCATAACCAATGAGCTTGGCAAGACGGGCTCAGGAGGTGAATCTTGAAGATAAAAAAACAAAACGTTTTTGGTTTGGACGACGTTGGCTCTTTAGAGAATTTAAACATTTCCCTTAGTAAAAAGACAGGCTGCAGACTGAACACTAATACGTGCCCCGACTACACCACAAAAAGCCAAGGATGATGCAAAGTATTTTCAGAGCCGACAGCTTACACAGCATTAATGATAAACCCGGTAAGAATGAGCTCCTCAGCCTCTGGTTACCTCTCATTTCTTCCACCTTTGTATGTAAAATTACTTGGACATCTACAAAATTTAAGGAATATTAAAAAAAATAAAATAAATCAGTTATAATGATGAATATGAGCTTATTGTGCAGACTGACATTTTTAATTTGACCAAATTAAAAGGGAGGGTTTAGGAATTACAGCACTCCAAAAGTAATTGGAAAGTTGACTGAAAAGCCATTTCGTGAGCAGGTGAGTGCTATTGTTTAGTTATTTCTTCATAAATTAAACGGGTCAGGAGTTGTTTGCAGGATGCATCACAACATCGAGTCCAAATAAAGAACACTCTCTAAGAGTTCGACATATCACAATCCGAGTCTACAGTACTGAGATGTTGTATGAAGAAATGCATAGGAAGTTACTATAAAGAGCAAAAGAATCAAAAGCCTGCAGAATAAAAAGGGGTCAACTTTATAAAACATAAAAAGATCATTTCTGGCACAGAATTATCTGTAAAAGCTGTTTCAGTACCATTCAAACTGATCTGTATGCATGGCCATACAGATCAACAGCTCTTAGTTTGTTTGTCGGTTTCCAGTACATGGTTCCTGGTTGATTTCTCAAGGTTTACATTCTCAGGTTTTCCTAGTTTTGCAATTGAGCTTTGTTCCAAGTTATAGTTTTGTTTATACTTAATTTCTTAAAATCATTTTATATTTTGCATTTTGGCCTCTATCAAATAAACGGTTTCCCTTTTGTAGAAACCAGCCTGCATTTTGGGTCCTCAACTTCACAGTCTTCAGGACCTACAGACAGTGACAGTATGGTCTGACCAGGCACAGCCCCAGCAGACACAACCTGTTTACATTAGAGGAGTTCTTCTGTTAGGTAGCCAGGCTCCATGGATAATGGTTTTCTGCATTCACCGCCCAAAAGAAACAAGATGTTCAGATCCAGACTAACTGGGTAGTTTGTGCTACTCCAGATTATGTGGATAATCCAGAGTCTGTGCAGGATGCCTCCGAGACTGTGCCTCAGCTGGTGACTTTCATTTGTCCCGAGCCTCTGGTGTATCCGAAGCCTGAGCAGGAGCTGCCAGATCCCGAGCCAGTGCAGACTGTGTGCCCTGCACAATCCCAGCCAGAGGAGACGGCGTGCACTGTGCAGCCCCAGCTTTCAGAATCTGAGCCCAAGGGACTTGTGTTGTTTGACCCCGAGTCTGAACAGCCTAAGATTTAGCCAGGATGACTCTTTTGTGAGCAGCTTCCAGCTCATCCACCTGACAGTCTCCTTTGTTGAGTTTCATCTGAAGGTCTCCGACTCCACTGCTGATCATCTGTTTGGCCTCCAGAAGGTCTCTTTGACCACTACTGGACTTCAGATGGTCCCTGCCTCTGTTGTTAGTATCCTGCCATGAGGGGGGCACCCTCATTCTTAAATGCCAGCCTTTAGAGGGTCTTCGTCTCCATCACTGGCCACCTGGCCAGAAGTGGTGATATAGCCCCCAGAACACCTCAGTCACCACTTCTGGCCACCTCTGGAGAGGTCCCTCTGATGCCGCTGCCAACCTGCGGGCCAGCCTCCTGAACTGCTCGGTCTTCAACGCTGGGCCCCAAACAGACCCTCAGAAGCATCCTCCTGCTCAGCTCTGCATTTGGGTCAAACTCCTGGGCGAGTACTTACAAAATTAAAAGTCTTATTCGATTTTTTACAAGGCTACTTTTCAGTTCTAATAGAGTTTTTGTTTGTGTTCATATTCTTGCGTGAGTAGATTGTAATGGGGATAATTAAGAAACTATGAATAAAGTAGACTTCTTCTGATTGATTCTTTAATCAATGAAAACATGAGTAAATTAATAAGTAGTTAATAGAGGTAGAAGCTGAGGATGGACACCTTTCAGCGACGGCAACTACAAGACCCTGGTGAGTAGCAGTGTCAGCCCGTCTCTCCAGTCCAGAATAAAATACCTCAGCATTTTTGCTGTCAGAGGATGAAGTCCAACGTTTCTTTTTTTGCAAAGATTAGAGAAACATCTAAGATTTTCACACTTGTGCCCAAGTACATGCACTACTTTTATGTTGAAAACAAATGCATGCTAATACATGAAACTAAGATAGCTAACATGATTAACAATATAAGAAAAAGAATCTGGATTTCATTGTGAATTCCCAAATGTAAAAGTGTAGGAGGCTGCCTGAAACTGTGCAATATATAGTTTGCCTTAAAGCTTTGAGTTGGGACAAAATCCTTCTCAAACAAAACCCGACACTCTGGGCCTCTCCTTGCCTTGATTTATGACCTCTTGACTTTCCATATCTTTAAATTTAAATAAGTTCATAAAAGTGACAGACGACTTATGACAGAGGTCATGGCAAAATAACAAGTGAGTAATAATAAAGAGGGTTCAAAAGTCAAGGCTCAGGGTTTGCTCTTTGCTTTCAAGTTAATTCCATCAAACTCACAAAGCAAAAGAAAATGTAGTTAATATATTTCAAAGTTAATCCACTTATCCTAAATGCTGCATTAGAATTATGCTGTTTATCAAGGTGGGGGGAAAAAGCCACGATGGCCCTGGATAGTTACACATTAAACACTATGCATAGGCAGTTTTCTTTTTTTGTTGGGGCCCCATTGATCTGGGGATAAAACGGCCTGCTGAGTCAAAGAATTGGAAGGAACGAGGTTCACAAATGACAGATAGTTTGTTGTAATTACATTTTTGCTGAGCCATCGCTTCAGCAAATAAAAGAGCTAAGGTGGATCCACGCAAGAAGAGCTCATGAATTACTTTCCTTTATTTACCAGACAGATGCACCACCAGCCTCCTGCGTGAAACAGTCACACAACCTGTACTTGATTTGTACACATCTACACTGTAGCACTGTGAGACACGACATACAACGCAGTGGATTTAAGACAAAACAGCACCCATTATTATTGTTTAGAATGCATCATATTTTTGCAAATCGGCCGTGTTTACTTTCAATAAAGTCAATATGCAGCAGAATGATTGGAGCTCCACAAGCTCCGTTTTGTCATAGCAGGCAGTCTGTTCCTCACAACTAAGACATTGTGAGGGTACTCAAAACAGCGGTAACTATGCTTGGGCCTTTGTTCAGCATCCAGTAAATCGAGCCAGCAAACTATGCATTACTTGTGGACTGCAGAA